CAGATTCCTCAATACATCAGACGGAAGTTGTGATCGGCCGGTACATTCAAGTTGTGTGTAGAAAATGTCTAATGTATATCAACACTTCTTGCGTCCTCGCCATGTGCAGACCTTTAAGCAGGCAGAATTTAGTTGAAAAACGTCTTGCAGAAGACCGTTAGAATTCCCACCTAGGTCAGCCTATGACGAAAGATGGAGTGGCACTGCGTAGCTGTTCTATTCTTATTAGAAATCATCAGTAACGCGTATCTCCTGAACCTCCAAGGAGATTCGAAGTTGCAATCTCTACGCAAGTAGTTCAATTACAAGACTTTCGGCCAGCAGGGCTTGACCAACAGAATGTATAGTCATCCATCATTCAATCACCGAATTCATATCAGGTGGGTGATTTCTGACAGGATGCTCAAGTGAGGACCCGTACGATGAAAGGTATATTGGTTGCACGAGCTACTTATAACTTTTTGGTACCACATGCTATTGAATGTAAATATGGAAAGCAAGTATCCTTTAGTGTAGGAATTATGGTTCAAACGGGCTTACCCACTAATTTCGGTATCCAAGGGTCTATGTTTTATTCGTGAATTGAAAGTTAGGAAATAGTATCAAATGAACGGTAATTTAATGCACTATGTTGGTTATGACCATTGTATTCCAAAAATGCCTTGGCAATCTAATTTATCTCCGATAAAAATTCAACCTGTCCTCTTGGATTGAATGCAAATAAATCGGTTGTAATGAAATCGGTAGTAATGCGACAAGAATGCTTCTCAAATGGTGAAACATTCCCGTGAATGCAAAGTACCTTCACATTAGAGAACCGGTGGATGTGAACTAGGATTTTACATTTTGTTGATGAAGATACAGTGATATCAGGGCATTTTGGTGTCACATTATGACCAACTTGATCGCTTCTCCCACTAGAGAATTTCAAATAATTTGATAAACTTTATGCCACTCGGTAAGGAAATAAAACACTTTTTGCTGAATCAGCTATATAAGTTCACAAAATGATCATGACTGATATTTGGTGTCCAAATGAATATTTTTACTGTCTACCGTAGGCTAAACAACAATAGAAAAGAAAATTAGCTAAAGCAGGGAATTCGGCCAAAGTTGCAAAACAATAGCTTCTCGGGCTAATGATTTGCTCGCTTTTGTGCTAGATTGTGGTACTAAAATTATAAGAAAATTCTTATCGTTTACTGTATTTAAGTGACCCGTGGAACTTGTATCCACCCTAGTCCTGATAGTGTCTTAGCCCCAACCCCGTCGGATTAGTGGCTGGCTTCGAGGTTTGTTTTTCCTACAGCCCGTCAGCACCGCATATTCACAGCCCCACTGGAGTTCACAATCGAAGCAAGTGTGTTGCCAACACGTCACAGACAAGTGCTAAAAATAATTAATTTAACCTCTAAGCGGGAAAGATGCTCACATTTGGGAGTGGTATTCGGTTTTGCCCTGTCCGCCAGGTGAATAACACCTGAGTTCCTGGTCGTGACGTCATGCGAAATGTCAGCTGATACAAGGTCTTCAGTTCCAAAGTTGCCTCTTTTTAACTCGCTTATGAAAATCTGTGCCCCCATTGAGTCACCATTCATTTAGATCTCTTCTAGCGCATGTACTCATCTGCTATTAGAACACAAACTGCCAGTTATAGGGAAGGACGTTTGGCATAATAAGATGAATATCTGAACAGTGTGTAGGTTTGGCTGGCTAATGTTTATTGCCTAAAGAGTTGGCACGAGGTCTATCTACCCAGTCGACGATGCGAAGCAACTGGGGCTTGTGGTAATGAAAAGTTTGACATCACATAATCGCATGCTGGATTGTAGGATACGTCTGTCAGGCTGCATAACCCCGATTGCTGAGGATTAGTATTTGTTCGTTGCTTGGCGATGTTGAGGAACGAACTAGAGAATTACAGGTATCCGGAAACAGCAACAGTATTTCACGTTCAAGCAGTTGCTCAAGCCTCATTAGGGATGCGCCAAAAGCACTGGTTAAACTGGGCATATCGCTTGATAAAAAATACAAAACAGGCTCCCATTCGATACTCCAATAGCGATCACGCCCGGATAACTGATACATATTTCTGCCTTTCTCAATTTTTGACCGTTCTTAAGTATTTCGGCAAACATTTCAGAAAAATGTAACTTTAAGGAAATCTCAGCTCATCTGGTTTGCAACAATATTACGAAAACAAAAATGATGGCGACTCACCGGCGGTGATGACTTTAAACTTCTCTGTATAAGACAAAATTATTAGAAGAGAAACATTTGGAGGTATCGAATTACTTCCAATAAAATAAAGTACGCGCCGTTTGAGGGAACAGTTGGCCTCCCTTAATTTAAACAAAGCTGCCTAATTGTTTGTATCTCCTAATTGCGGTCAGCCGACTTCTATGCAGTTATTAACAATGAAGAACGGTTGTTGAAAATGAGTGAGAGCACATTTTCTGTAGAGTCTGTAATTGTTTGTACGGATTACATTCTCCACGCCCACTTGACCAGGGGTTTTGGCTGCGCGAACAGAAACGCTTACTCATGAGTGCATATCATACGCACAATTTATTGCAGCGCTACATATCCTCTTCTAAATCCTGACACTTTTTGAAGACACCAACTGTCAACTGTCAGGATGCTCATGCTCAGCCGCATGAACAGATTTGGTGCACTTCCCGCTACAGTAGCTGGTTTCATACTACTTATACAAGACCACTAAACACCATCGGAGGAATTGAAAAAAATAGTTTCCGGCTAGGTGGGCACCAGGCTGTGCTTTGTAGCTTAATGCTACCCTTCGGGAAAGACAACTTACCACCCTCGTCATCTTCTTGAGCTACAGACAAATGGAGAGGTAAACATTAGTAGTATCTACCAGCTTTTGCCACCAATCCCAACATTTTATCTCAATGTTTTTAAGTATCGAGCAATGGGTTAGAACCGTTTTCTTCTTCGAAAGTTTCGCTCATCTTTTTTGTTTCAACATTTATCAAATTTATCTCCCTCTGTATTCCTGTATTGTTACTTTCCGGTTTTACGCATCACTTTTCATTATGGAATTTTCCTGCACTCTTCTGACCGTGGAAACCCGCATCTTGGTTGCCTTCGAAGGCAATCATCCAAGCAAGACATTGTAACTCGTTAAACTTGGCAAATATTTTATACTTCATTCTACGTTGCTCCAAATCTCAGGAAATGCAACGCATGGTGCGCATGACCATCAGCTTTTATCTTATTTAAATTGAAATTTCATTCTCTTCATCAGTGAGTTATCACGTTGCGGCTAACGTATGAGGTAGTACCGTCTCTACAACTACAGGGAACCATTCAGATAAATTTATTTGTGCTGGGTACATTTGAGTTTGTTTACTTAGTTACACTGTTTGAAACAGAAAAATTTCGGAGGTGTGTGCTCCTTTGGGTATGAAAGTATCTTTGTTCGAGACTACCGAATCGACTTTTTGGCTGAAAACATCACCTTCCATCATGAGATTCACATCTCAGCATCACTTCGCCATAAAAAACGTGTTCTATAGTTTGTCTAGCCCGCCGCATTAAATTTATCAGTTTGAAAACAATTTCATATGGTCCTCTAGCTGAATGGACTCAGTGACACGATGTGTTAAATTACTTTTCTAGTCAGTCGAACTCTCGCATCAGTAATCACGTGCTAAACCTTTATTTTGAAAGGTGTCATAAAACCCAATTTCCCCAATATTGGCCCTGTCGCTGGTGAATCGGAACGAGGTTCTTTCATCTACATCCTCCGTATTGCCTTGTCATTCTTCACATGTCCCGCGGTAGATGACCGATGTAAATTTGATCTCCCGTTGAAGTTAAACGTCTCTGGAGGTTCGTTCGGACCCAACAGAACGATTTTCTCTCCGGAAAGTTTCCGCCTTTATAATTGACAAAAGGCGTCTCTTCTCCATGTTTTCTCACTTGAGCCTGCCCTTTTTGTATCTTACTGACTGTATAAACTATAGCAATACTACTTTGGCCGAAAAAATTTGCCGAAGTTCGAATATTATTCTGATTCATTTTCGGAAACCTAAATTTCAGGAAAGTAGATTCCGGGCGTCTACTGAAACAAACATTCAAACATTGACCTTTCAAACATTGACCATCCTACAGTGCTTCTAAAATGTTCTCAATTTAAATGGATATTCTTTTGACGACGATTTATCTTTATAGGGGATGAATCTGTTCTACAACATCCCAGGAAACGGTTGGGAAAGAAATTTGATTGTAGTTTTTCTTCCATAAGCTTTTATCACACATTGTATCGTCAAAGCTATTTGTACACTTGCTTTGAATATCTTGCAACCAAAATAAATCACACAATGCCTACGTTTAATGAAACCAAATGCCTATTGTTACCCGTACAAAAGCTCGTACGAAGAGCTGAATAAATGCATTTTGCATCTCTAAAAACACATCTAAACAACCCTCGGTCAGATTTTCTTAGTAACTTGTTATTCCTGAGGGTGAGAGCTCAACTGCGTCGCTGTTGAAAAGGTCTGCAAACACTTACGTAAACTGGGCTTTCTTCATGTTATTTTGCCAAGGATTTTTCTTTTGGCAAGTCCTCCCACCCAAACAACATTGAGAAGAGGATGCGTTTCCACATCATTACTATCAACACTCAACCAATCAGGTTTAGTAAAGTTTGTTTGAAAAAAGATTGTTAAAGTTAATAATAATACACTTGTGCTATCACCAGTGCTAGTCACTACACAAACGAAATGTGAACCGCATAGTTAGAGCACTTGCAAAGTTGTCTCCTTAGGCGGTATCTTATGCAGCTTGTTTGTAAAGAAATCTGTCGTGGTAGTTCTGATTCCATAACTGTTGAGGACATCGTTTGGTACAAGAGCAGAGGACCGTGGCTGATACCTAACGATATGCAAAATAACAGTCCATGTAGTGCAAGTTCTATTACGTCTCACAAAACATTCCGTAGAATTGTATAGAAGGCAAATTCCAAGATGACTTACCGTAGCTGGCTTGAAAGTACCCGAGCAAAAATAAAAAGCAGCTTAAGCAATGTGGCAACATCCTTGTGACGGTAAAGGTTCTTTGAATGCTTGGTCCATTTTATATGTACAGTGCACACGTAGTAAACAAAGCAGCTTCACTGGATTGGAGATATTTCGACCTTAGTGAGAGGCAAACACACAGAATGTGTGACCACCATAGGGTTGGACAATCTTTCAGAACAACCGATACAGTTCACTGATTACGAATTCAGGGGGTTGAAGATATTTCACTCTGCATTAGTTAGCATGGGCTTGTAAAGCATCCTAGTGAAGCGGAAAAACGATGCAAGTTCCTCGTGGGAAAGAATTCAAACAAAAAAAACTAAATAACCGAAAATAACTGCAGTCAAACCTCTTCACATTGCACGTATTGCGACTGAGTAACTGATATTTCGAGCTTGGCTGCAACAAAAGTGAGCTTTGAACCCACCGAAATTGACATATAACACCTTTTAAACCTACGGTGGTATCAGCATAACTTCCCGTAAATTACCAGTCAATGAGACGCAACTGTTTCTGAGAAGCGTTGCATTGCAAACGTATATAAGAACGTATAGATTTCGGTGAAACATTAAGTACAAAAGGATAGGAATTTGTAGGATTCCTTTTTTGCAAACGAACAACTAACTGTCAACTCGTGAAAGGTCTGACAAAGCAAAAGCGAGTAAATGTGTAAATGATACTTCGAGATCATTTGGGCAAACTGTTTGATGTTGTTTTCTTGCACAAACGACCGGCTCCTGACCTAGATACAGCGATTATACACGAGCCAAAGATTATCCATGCATTCCTAGCTTCCAGTTTCCAGTTCCATGCCTCCTTTCCCCGACACTCACAAGTAAAAACCTCCAGCAATCATAGGTGTTTTCCTATTCTTGATAATTTTTAATGAGCTCAAAATATACTCTCAAATGCCTAGCTAAGAGAACTGGAATCTCAGCCCACCGTCCATGGTGGCCCAAGTGAACAACAGAAAAGCTGCGAAACTGGCGATAAATAGGCCGAAATATATGCTTGTCTGGAATCCATGATTATAGATGAAACCCAGTTCAGTGATAAGGACAGACGATTGAACGATAGTGCATTGAAGTGATCCTCCTAGAGTGCAGCACTGCGAGTAGAGCATGGAAATTTTGTAGGAGACTGCACCGGTGTGTCCTCTTTCCAAATAGGCGAAACTGAAAGGATAATAAACTAGACGTGAACTGCTTGCATGCTCTTTAACGCACTGCAAAATGTTTTACACAGAAAAAAATAAATCTTTCAGTCTGTTCTATAGAGGAAAATGTTGGTAGCTCAGGTATCGTAGATGGTGGTCGTTGGCTTGTTCGCTGAGCTGGGCAATTTGATTGCAAACGTTTCATCAGGAAGGAGACTCATACAGATCAAATCCTGAACTACAACAGCAATCACCCAGTAAACCACAAGAAGAGCTGCGTCCAAACCTTGTTCAAGAGGGCGGAGACACACTGCAGCACCACAGAACTGCGGAAGAAGGAAGAAAACCATCTACTCAGGGTATTCCAGAACAATGGATATCCAAGGAATTTTATCAAGAGAGGCTTGAAGAAGAAGACACCCCAACCGCGGCAACAGCAAGAACAAGCCACCAGACGGGTAGTCCTGTCTTACATCAGGAATATATCAGAACTCGCGACCAGATTATTGGCTCAAAAAGGAATATTTGTGGCCCACAAACCGAATGCCACCCTGAGGAAATTAATCTCTAGACCGAAGGACAACCCGGACAAAACCAAGAAGAACAATGTGATATACCAACTCAACTGCAACAACTGCAGCAAATTCTACGTCGGACAAACTGGCAGGAGACTATGCACACGAATAAAGGAACACAACGCGGCCGTCAGGAGGCATGACCCCCTGTCCTTGATATCCATACACGAGGACCAAGAAGGCCACAAATTCAACTTGGAAAACGCAGAAATTTTGGTATACGGACGCACGAGGCACGGAAGAGAATTTCTGGAAGCATGGTACTCGACGGCAAATTCGATCAACCGGTGCATCGAACTGGACCCAATTTACGCACCCCTACGCGCAAAAGACCAACAACTCAACCGGAAAACTCAAGGAAGACCGAATATTGGATTCACAAACAACGAAACAAGGAACTCTTTGGAGGCAAATCAATAAAGGTCACAACCCAGGACTGGAAGGGACAAAGGTCAATCTAGCTTCGACCAGATTACGACGGAGGGGATGCCAAGCTCAAAGGTCACGTGGGCATCGGCGAATGGGGATACAGGACAACGGAGCAACCAATGGAATCACCCGACCGAACAACTAATCGCGACCAAAGGTCATCCCCTGCTAGCAGCACGTATATTAACACACGCACAACACTACCCAACGCACAACCACCAACCCACCGCTACGCACTACTACGCTCCACAATAACGCACTGATGATATCACCTCGATTGGTGATGAAACGTTTGCAATCAAATTGCCCAGCTCAGCGAACAAGCCAACGACCACCACCTTTATTCTGTTTCTTCACAAGTTAGGAAAAACAATTGATAACTTCATTATCATTGCAACTTTTGCCCAATGATTTCGAACAAGAGATTCAAGGTTTAGTTTAGACTGATGCATGGAATCTTATAACAGCAAGATAAAATAATCGTTCAGCTCTTACACTGTTTTGGTACCCAGCTGCCACACTATCCGGAGGAATCATCGCTCAAATAAGGTCAAGGCCTAAACAGGAGCAGTCGAAATGCCGGGGCCGGATTCAAAACGCGGACCTTATGGCCAGTGAGTTTGTACTTTAAACACTGAGCCATCTTGAGCTTGTAAGTGATGTGAATAATCTGATAATGTGAATTTGATTTTGGCTATGCAAATCGAAGTTAAACACCTCAATACACTTTGTGTTTCAACAAGTATGTTGACAACTCAGTCCCCACGGTAAATCAGTAACTAGAGGCGCATCCAGAGACGGCCATCATTTTTTAGGTTGAAAATGACACAAAGAATGCGAACGCGGACAACGGCCAATTTAGGAGAACAACTTCGTACTTCAGAAGAATCTGGTGTGCATCACTCTTGCATTCAAGTAAACAACCCGAAAGACAGGCCTTTCGAAGCGGTAATGTTAACATCAAACATAGAAAGTGCAACATATTCCACAGATACAACATCACAGGGACTGTTGGATGGAATAAACAGAAGGACTACAGGATTTGGGGTACGTTAACAAGACGAGGAAAGGCTGTTTAGAGGATCTAGCGTGAGGCCTGAACACAAGATCATTCTTACGACTACCATCTACACTTGAGTAACGTTGGCGCACTCAGCGATCCATTTACGGTAGGACAAATTAAACATGACAGGGGTTTATTTTGCACTTAGCCTCTGAAAAAGCTTGGAAGTAGATTAACATTTAGGTTTGTCACGGTTCGAAAAACCTCGGACACAAACTTTAATGATCCAACAACACGCGACCAGCAGGCGATCATGGGAAAAAATGACAATGCATATATATTCATAGTTTGACCTTGAAGATGCCGGAAGGTTGTCTCCGCTTTTCGGCTCAACAGCATAAACCTAATGGATACAGGTGGTTGTCCGATGGGTACGGTACTTGATTTTAAGAAATCACGCAGCATATTCAAAAGGTGAATCAAAAGGTGAATCTTTCCAAATTCGGAACAACTCTCCGGAGAGCGATATCCAGAAAGGAATAAAGAAAAAACATTGCAACGATGAGTTCTTGACTGGTCCTGAAAGCTGAACATGGGATAGGAGTTACGGTCCCTTGCTTACTTACCTGACTTCAAATGTTCATCAGTATGGGGCAAACAATGAGTGCTAGAACCCACATTTCCAAAACCACTTTTGACAACGAAAGAACGGATGACAAGAGAAGAGTCGTGGATTGTCTTTAATTGTCTGTCTTTGTCAAACAAGCCTAAGCTGTAAGGCACAAAATGTTTTCTTACTGGGTAAAAGCTGCGGCTATTTAACGCTGGTTCAAGAGGCGTCATCACTTGTGAACTTTTAGTGCAGCAACTTTTTGGGCTAAAGCGCGATGACAGTGACCACGTTTATTCTTGAACGTTTTTATCCAATCCCTTCCATGATATCAGCTCCTACGCCTGGGCTAAACAATCACAGACTTATCAAGCTCCAATCCTTGACTCATTTAGCCTGCACTGTTGCACTCCTCTTGTTCACATTTACAACCTCATTCGCAAGTTGATAACTTATCTAGCTAGGCTGAAAATACACTTCTCACCTCTGCTATTTTATTTTTAACTTTCCTTCTTAAATTCACTGTCTTAAACATTTCTGTTAGTATGTCCTTTAACTATTTGCATGTGCAATGGAGGGTGGACCGGCACCAACCATTCTCTTTTTATCTTTTATATCACAATAATCTTCTTCGATTCTTATTTGTTACGCGCACTAAAGGTGCATGGTTGCATTTAATTCAGAATCCATGTCGACAAACTAGTATCAGTGTGATGGGGCATTCTTTGCAGAAGGTGCACGTACATGTTAGCTGTTTCGATAATATGTCTGTTGTGTTGAACGACAATTTACATGCTCTGCGGATGTTGGATTTTTTAATCAAAATCTTGCGCATATTTTATGCAAATGAACCTTAAGGCAAGGTTTATTTGCCGGATCCAAGAACGTGTCTCAAATAGATATTAGAAAATATTGAATACATATCGAGAGTATATACATATATATTCACTGTGTAATTGAGAATAAGAATAGCCTTGCTGATCCTTCAGGACATAATATAGCTTGTACTCTAAGGTGCTATTGTGGGCTAGTATACATGGCTGTGCACTTAAGATGAACTTGCAATGATATCTCTGTACCAGAATAGGCCACCCATGTTACAAGTAGAATGTGCTTCTCAGCAAACGACTCACTGACCTTATTTACTTTCAATGAATGAAAGCACCAATTTGAACACCTGTCATTCAGTGGTCTGTCCTCACAACCACTAATTTTTAAGTCACCTGAATCGAGAGTAATATATATTCACTGTGTAATTGAGAATAAGAATAGCCTTGCTGATCCTTCAGGACATAATATAGCTTGTACTCTAAGGTGCTTTTGTGGGCTAGTATACATGGCTGTGCACTTAAGATGAACTTGCAATGATATCTCTGTACCAGAATAGGCCACCCATGTTACAAGTAGAATGTGCTTCTCAGCAAACGACTCACTGACCTTATTTACTTTCAATGAATGAAAGCACCAATTTGAACACCTGTCATTCAGTGGTCTGTCCTCACAACCACTAATTTTTAAGTCACCTGAAGACAACTTTCAAGAACATCGTACGCTCTATAAGTTGATGAGCAAAGCAAATCTTATTCTAAAGTACACTCAGGTATTTATATGTCCGCATCCGAGTGAGCGGTGTTTCTAGCTGACACAAGCAGGATTTGACGGATGAATCCAGCAGTTTCCTGTGAAATAAGTCCCGCTTGTTGTTACGGGGAGTATTGGTATCACGGGTTTCCGTTTTCTTCGCTGCTCGCAAGATGTTAGCATCTGGAAAGTCAAGTTCAACAGACAGAACCTCACTGTGCTATCTCTATGCTATTATAACTATAGTGGCTGTTGTCTTCCACTAGGTCCAGATAACTTTTCCGTACATCTTACCTGGTCGTATTTATCTCTAAGCCATCGGCTTGAACGCATCTCCACAATCGACTCCGTGCAGTAATTAGGCGTCCACTGAATTAGATGACTCTTTCGGGCTATAGGCAAATCAGGACGTTAAACTCTGAACATGAGCATACACAATGTCTGAACATATAGATGTGATTGGGAATCAAAGGTATTGATCACACATCTGTGAAACTTATCTTCAATCCCGCGGTTCAAGTTCAATCAAACATTGGGAGGCTCTCGCAAGGTGTAAATCCGTAATGTAGGATTCCCCTAGGTTTGAATAATTCGCCTGCAATCTTTGATAAAACAGATAAATAGTGGTCAATTTCCACTATAGGATTGTCGCCCATCTGGGTATTTTCACCTGAACTATGGATGGTTTTGCTTGCTGACGTACGAAATGTAGTAAGCCTCTCTAGAAAATATTGGCCAACACAGAGGTACACTGGTTTCTTCAAGCGGCTATGTTGTTCATAAACGCATTTCCCACTGCTTGCTTGAAGATACTGCGTATCAACGGCATCTGAAAATCGCGCACCAGGCCGCCTTGTGTTTCAGTTGGCACGATATTCGAGATGTCGCAGTATATTTTCATAAAGGGAACTAGTCAAGTAGAACATAAATTTGACGGAACCTTGGGGACTGCGCCGTCCTGATGAGCCCCACGAAGGCTGAAACCGGTCGTGGGCTGTCGAAGTGTTTTCAGCAGCCTTGTGAGTAAGTTCCTCTTTGAAACTCATTTGATCAGCTAGTCAAACCGACAGAGGTTATGGTCGGTGGGAAAATGGCCGTTTTTCGCGTAGCGCCAAACAAGGGTTGTAAACTAGGCAAAATATACCCCACGAGAAATTCAGTTGAGTCTCTCGTCAAAAATTAGACTGATTTGCAAAGGAGTGTATTTCTCGAGAACATAGTCATATTTCTTTTATGACCTGGACAGACTGTTTTCCAAAGTTCCTACCGTTAGCATCCAGAACAAATTTCATCATCTGTAAATACGGGCACATCGTTTCTTCGCCAAGGATTTATGGCAAAGTTAAATGATATAAACCTTCATTCAGTTAACAAACCTCCTGAGATATGAACCTCAGGCATCTAAGACACGTATTGGGACTATTATCATCAAGTCGCGCACCTGAGTTCCTAGTTATGAACCGGCAAACGTCTTTATGTTGGGGCGATGTTGTGAGTTTTGCCCGACGGGCAGATCGAAGCCTTAGTGGCCATCCTGGAGGTAACAGTCAATTCATTCTCCTGTTAGAAGTCCTGATTTGTTTTTGTTTGGTAGTTTTTGTGTTTTTTTCTTTTCTTTCCTGAGCTTTTGTTTCGCACCGATTGGATAATGGATGGAAAGAACGGAAAGTCTGTTCAAACCAATTGTTCGAATTAGGACCCTCAAAATCCGGCAGGCGAATTTAAATATCATTTTTTTATGTTGTTTGATCTACTCCTTTTACCAACTGTGTCTAACTTTCTAAATAGGCTTTACGTACTGACACCAGAACGACAGGAAATAAGTTGGTTATAGTGAAGCCACAGCGTTCATATTTGGTTCTCTACGTAAGCAGAACTCCCCATTGAGCTAATTGGTTTTGACTGTCATTCAAGTCAGTGCAAATATCTATCAAAACGGAAATTCACGTAATGAATCAAAATGGTCCCGGGTCTGCTCAATCAGGCCTTGGACGAGAAGATATCCGACTTTCAACTTTTTGATAACCGGTTGAGATATTTTGTGAAAATTTCACCATCAAACACAGAAGAACGTTGGATCCTAGTGCAAAAATAATAAAAGCGTGCCAAAAAACAACGGATACCGAAAAACTTGTGACTAATCCTTTGGCTCTGGTGGTTGGTTGCTTGGTTTTCTGTCTCGCCGTTCATCTATCTAACTATCTATCTATCTATCTATCAATCTATCTATCTATCTAT